CACACTGACAAATAAATTTTTATAAAAATTAATATCATATGACGTTTTTTGAAGAATTATATAAATTTTTTATTAAAGGATATTTTTATCCTATATAGTATTATACAGTGCATTACTAAATACTAGATATTATCTTATACAATATATTATTTTATACAATACCGTGTCAAACACTGGATAGTATTAAAATTCAATCAGGTCTTATATATTCACGTCTTATACTATTAGGTCTTATACTATCAGGCCTTATCCTATACTATGTACCAAACATGCCCTTACTATTAGAGTGTTACTGTTTGTCCCCTATAAAACTATATAGTTTCCAAAATCCAGAGCTGCATTTTGGTTAATACAAACCTACTCATAGATCTTGCCTCCATTTTTTCATCATTAAAAGAGAGTTGACAAACTCTAAAAAGAGAGTCACATGCAAAGCACGTGTATCAACTATCGAGATTTAACATTTTCACTTAGGGCGTTTGGTATAGAAAAAAAAAATTTATCGAGAAAAAAGATTGTTGAAGATTTGGTAAAAAAAATTTTATAATAATGGATAAGTTACGAAAAAAACGTTTGGTTGGCCAAAATTTTGTCCAAAAAATTGAATTAATTCTGCTGATGTTATGTTTGTTTGATGGTAAAATATTGATGGGAATTGTTATAAAAAAAAAAAAATATTGATGGGAATGTGAATTAAAATTACCAAAATACCAAAGACCATGGGCAATCTCTTTACACATGTTTTCAATGTCATATAACGCAAGGGTATTTTTGACTCAACATATTATATTCAGAATCCAAGACCATGGGCAAAAAAAATACCAAAGGTTGAGTGGTATAATCTTTTGCCTTTGTGTAGTTGAAAAGAAAAATACTGAGGGAAAAAATTGCTGGCATTTTGTTCACAATACCCATACCAAACATAGTAAATAAATATTTTTCATCCAACTTTCTTATCATTTCATACCAAATACCCATACCAAACACCCGGAACGTTAGAGAAGCTTTATGTGCTTATTAATATCAATATCTTTTTTCAACTTTAAAAAATTACAAATGCATTTGTGTGCTTTATTTAAGAACATAAAATATAAATTATTTAGAGATATTAAAGATGCATAACAACAAAGATCCATTAATTAATTTAAACATCAAGCATGCATTAGACTAAATTGAGCCAAAGGGAGTTAACTCAACCAATTCAATGAATCGAAATAAGATTCACTACTTCTTACGTGAGAGGTTTGGAGTTCTCCCTTTTACAAGTAATAGTCTTCCCATCCGTGACCCTGAAGTATGATCACATCCTTATTAAGCTACAAGAAAGGGAAAGGAAAGAAAGGGGCAAAGCTTTTTTATTTGTGGGAATTGGATTCTCTCATGTGATATTAGATTATGTGAGACGATATCAATTATTTTTAGACAAATTTACGGTGATATTTCCTTACTTTATATTCTAATATGCTCTCCATAATCGTTGATTTATCTAGGAATGATTGAGTTGTCTCGGATAACCTCATGTCACATATGAGTGAATCAAACATTGGACCAATAAATGTCTAATTGACCCCAATCACTTTCTGGAACTTCCAAAGCTTCCCAAACAGCTTTTGAGGCATCAACAACATTGTTCAAACAAGGGGGCTGGTAATTATGTTCCTTGTCACACCCTTTTGTGGAGTCACACACTCATCAACGACCGTGGCAATGACACTTCTTCCATTAGGATAGATGGTAATTTTGCTAAAGCACCTCTTCATATTGTTGAACTATCCAGTTTACAATGCTACAACAGGGGTGTTGTCTGAGTGATACTTGTTGTCACATTCTGATGGTGCACCTCCATCACCACCCTTTTCAAAGCTATTCAGTGTTAGGATTGCCTTTGTGCGATGAGACACATTTGGGGAACACTTGTATGTGGTGTAAAGTTTCCCTTGTATGCAGCACTCACTGCATTGTCCTCTAGGAGATTTTTCACCCCTTATCTTTCCACTAGGTCTGCAGGTAGCAGCTTCTATGCTCAGCAAGAAGCTTGCTACAAGAATTAGAAGAAAGAGAATGGTTTGAAGATAATTAGAACAAATCTTGATCCCCATATTCTCTTTCTTTAATCTCTCAATGATGATATATGCATTAGAGTATAGTTAGCAGGGTATTTATAGAGTTATCAAGCTCAAATGGCATAACCCTTATATCAAATAAGACATTCTAACAAGTTTGTTTTTCCTTTAAATTCCAATTGTTTGGTATGACATTGTAGTATAAAGGTTTGTCAGATACCAATGAAAAGTATTAATTATGCATTAGGAGTTTTGATTATTTTGCCAATCAAATAAAATTAAGTTTCACTAAGCATATGTTACACTCAAATAATTAATTAATAAATTTTATTTACGAAAATTTTGACCGTTGATTGACGGAAATCAACGGTTAAGATATGGTTGTAAGAAGTTGTAAACGAAAATAAGTTATAAATATAATCTTCTCATTTCTAATACTATATTCCTCTCATTATTGTCATATATATAATTTAGTTTGGTTTCACAAATGAAAATAACAAATTGAACCAAATGAATTAGTATCTTTTCTGACTAGCATCTTGGGTCTGCTTTGGGTTAGGTCGTTGTGCTGCCTCAGGGCATTTGGTAGAGGAGAAATTTTTTTTTATCTGCGAATCTCAATTTTCAGAAGTATGATTTTTACATTCAGTTTACGATAATATCTGAAAATTAAAAATTTAAAAAAATTTAATTTTTCAGGAATCTTGAAAAATACCGCATACCAAACGCCTCCGGGTTTACATGATTATGACATATCATTCCCTCACTTTCTACCTGCTCAACCAATTATATACTTTCAAACAAGTCTAGTTCTGCATTTCCGGAATTGTGTATACGTGTTACCTACGTGTTTCCTTATCAACTAAATTTATCTCTGGGTTTTCTTAATTATTATTGGACTAAACCCTTCATATCACTTAGTATGGGTCAGATCAAGTCTCAATGCTCCTTCAAAAGTGTGAAACATCCTCTAGAATGGTGTTTATAGATTCACTCCAAATGTAATTTACTCCCTTCAATTCAAAGTTCTTTAAAAAGGTCTCCATAATTTCCAAACAGTGCAAAATGAACCCCCCCCCCCCCCCCCCCCCTTTTTTTTCTTATACAAAAAATGACCCTATTAAGTTCCAAAAATTTCACTCTAAAATAGGGAACAATTCTAACTAATAAGGATCATTTTGTATTGTTTGAAAAATATGGCAACTCTTTAAAATGATTTTAAACTATATGGACTTACTTATATTTTAAGAAATTATATAGACCAAATCATTAATCTAACTCTGAACAACAACAACAAAAATGCTAGTTATGCAAGATCAGAATTAGAGTTTACATATTAACAGCATTAGTTTACATATTTCCAGTGGTTCATGGAAAATAATTAACAACTATACGGTCACTGACCACCAATGATGTTGATGGATGATCATACTAGTATTGTATACTGCATAGTTGTCAATTATTTTCCATGAACCACTGGTCTCGAGTATTGAAATTGAACACTTGTTGGATGTTTCAATGATCACTTTCTTGCATAAGTCACACACAAAACTCATCGCATGAAACATAACATTCATCTAGTACTAGGAAAGCAACTGGACAGTAGTGTCACGTGCAAATTCAGAGTTCAGACAAACACCACGTCACTAGAAACCAAACCAACTATCCTATGGTTAAAATTTGACAACAACAAATCAACAATTGTAGTTCGGCACCCAGTAGAACAACAAAGCCACGGGAGATTTTAGGTAACACAGATAGAAAGAGGTGGTATTGATAAAAATCATTCTTCCTTTTAAAGGTGATTGTTGGTTTTCACCAAAAAATAAAGGTTTGAACTCTTAGGCGTGTTTTCCAAGCCATGATTTTAAGGGAAATAATTTAAAAGAGAAACAATAAATAAATAAATTCTATCATTTAGTTACGAATGTCTATCTTTTATCAACATCGATGCCATTAGGGATGATAATTTTTAACATCGATATGAAAACATGACACGAAATTTTTGTATTCATGTCAATCCGTATTTATGTTCTATGACAGCCAAAAAAAATAATATGAAAATTTTGTATCACGTTTGTGTCAAAGAATATTCCAAATTTGTATAGTATTCGAGTCTACCCACAATTGATCTATTTAAATTAAAGTTATATAATTACATATTTACCCCACTTTTTTTTTTTATTCAATAATTTGAGTTTATTTAAGTAATATTCATTTCAAAAGTAAAATTTAAAAATTATTTATATTATGTCAACTCACGTAACAAACAAGTAATTTTTAATATCAAATTTTATGACACAAATAGCTATTTATATTAAATTCATGTTAAGGATATTCATATACGTGTTAAAATCCCACCAACCCGAATACCACCACCCGTACATGCCATAATGACCTTGTTGCTTAGTGCCTCAGGTTGTTAAGAGGAACTGGGGAGTTCGAAATTACATGGTTTACATGGTCATATGCTTGCTTTTCTATCAATATCTTCCATTTCATTCTATATGAAAGTTGAAGGTGGACATCATGCTGTAATGCAACCGTTATGTTTCATGTTTCATCCTTTACGCGTAACACTAAATATTTCAGTTAATTTTTGTTACGAGATAATGCGAGCATTATTGAGGATATGAAATTTACATGCTATTTCTTCCAATGGAAGCAAATTACTCTTGGGGCCAAAACCTAAGAACAAAGTTATATTTCAGCCAAGTTACCTACAATGATTAAATAAGGCCAATGGTGTCAATAGACACTATAAAAAACCAAATTTCAATAGGAGGTTGAGGCCTACAAAGTTTTAAGCCATTCAAATAACACTTCCTATAATATATTCTCACGAGTAAATCTTCATGCACCCCTTTGTCATTGCATTTCAGGAAACAATTCAATGACAAAAAATCACGAGATTTATATCACATAATCTATGCCCCTAAACCATAAAACATCTATAGCCCAATGTCAATTACTTTCAAATAGGATATAAACAGTATTTAATGAAGGACACCAAATCTTCAAATTAAAATTCCTCACAGCTACAAAAATATGAGTACAACCCTAAAGTCAATCATGGGTGGAAGGATAGGTGACATTTTACCAAATTCCAAAAGTCAGCTTGCTTCTACTCTGTTGTTGGTACTTGGTAACTTCCCATTCTGCCATTACTACTAGAGGAAAATTAGATGAGTGACCATAAATCTGAAATATATATATATATGTATATACCCAGTACTAGCTTATGCTAAATGAATTGTCACCCCCGCATTAAATCAATGTCAATATGGGAATTACGCATATCCAACGGACGCGATGCCGGCCAAGGACTTAGTGATGAGGTTGGAGTAAGATTTTGATTTGGGGAAATGCTATTCACTGCAACTGGATTATGAACTTCCTGATGATCTGACTCTAAAGCAACTTCTGCACCTTCTGAACCTTCCTTTTTCTTGTTCTTGGTCTTTGATCCGCCCCATAGAAAGCTCCCAACTATCACCTACAGTCATAACTGATAAAAATCTAGCCATCCAAAATAAAACTAGGGGTTTGGGGTGGATGCATAACCATGAAAAACTTTCAAAATTAAATAAGTTGGTGATGTTGATGTGAGGATGATGATTTTTCAAGATATAATATCCTGGCAGCAGTAAGAAATGCTATTACCTGAATTTGACTTGCTGCAATAAGCACTCCACCAACTCCTCCACCGATGACACGACCATCAGGACTTGCAAGGGAAACACTTAATCCACCAGTTCGGTTGCGGGAGCCGCCGTTATCAGCGAGCAAGTAAGAGCCTGACAGGCATAGGATCTCAAAACGTCCCTATTAAGACCAAAGTCCACCAATAATTATCCATAACTAAATAAAATAACTTTAACATGATAAAGAGAGTTATGACGGATAGGAAGAACAAGAAGAAGAAACCATGATAAAATAATGATAATTTTATCTTCCATGCATGAATAGAATTCTTAAGGCAAGGCTTTCACCCAAAATAAAAAATAAAAAAGAATCCTTGCAACCAATCAATTATAGTATATCTCCATAAAAGATAGCCGTTTGATTATATGAGTGTAAGTATTTAAACCATGTAATTGTTTATAAGTATCCAAAGGTAAATGTATATAACGCTAAGAAAGTTCCAAACCTCATATGTGACAGTGCCACCTGAAGTTGAAGGCTGACGAAGTGTCACAGTGGAGACAGCCCCATTGGCTGACAAAATACATATAGCTCTAGGCCCCTGCTGCGAAAATGCCATAATTTTTGTTGCAATGTCCTATACAGAAGAAAAAGAACAATTTTCAATTGAGTATTTCTTAAATACTTAACACAAATGGCAGAACATATGGTACAAATTGAAAAGGATGATCACTTAAAATCACTAAAAGAAACATCAAAGAGTCCCTGGAGCACAATAATATGTCTCGAATGAAATCATTTTCAGGGCAAGTATCATATATCATATCATTTGATGGTTCCACAAAAAATAAAGCAACTCTTCATCCAAAAAATAGATGATAGACAAAAGGTGAATTTGACAACTTTATGCCTTCCCACATTATTATCTTATTTACTATCGTAGACATCAATCATGATACTTGGTTTTGGCTTTACTAAGTCAACTTTTTCCTTTTAAAGAGAAAATAGTACAAATGATATCAACATCTATTTACAATTTGATAATACTAGTTTTCTTTTTCTTTTTGGTACATTAATACTAATATTTTTATCATTAAGTCAAGAGACCAATTCAACATAGTGCCTCCTTTCTCAGCCCAAAGATCCCACATTTTTTGGTTGCCAGAACAAATCAATGGTTGTTTTACTTAGACTTTCATCTAAATAAGAGAACAGAAATACTAAAGTTCTTCTGAAGTTAAAATTTTAAATATATACTAAGAAAACAGAAAGATTGATACAAATTCCAAAAAATCTGTGGCATACTTCTCCAACTGCAATGGTGATGATATGAGGAGTGAAACCCATCCCAGCTGAACCAGACATCAATTCACCTGGCAATAACCACTAAAAATATCAAACAGAAAAATATATATATATAATATATATTTAAACCAACTTAATATAAATTAATCCCCTAGGGTGAATCAGCCTTTAAAGACAGAACCAAGCTGGTCCTTGTAGCAGACATTTGAATAGTTTAGAGAGTGCAGATAATGAAATTTGCTAATTTCTTTGCCTGTATATTAGCTAGATGCAAAGGTCAACAAAAATAAAAGAGTGGAATTCTCAGTTGCATGATTAAATTTCTGATTTGTTGAGATTAATGTGTAAGTATAAATTGTCAATTATTATCTCAATAAATCACTTTTGATTGTGCTTCTTGAGAGCTCAACCACTTCTACACACAACCCAATAGAAAGATGAATCTCTATCTGGGGTACTATCAAAAGCTTTAATTTTTTGAGATTGGTGTGTAGGTACAAATTGTCAATTGTTATCTCATAGACAAAATAATACATAAGTATTAAGTTATACCTATACACTAAACCAAAACTTTTGATTGTGCATACATCCCAATAAATACATGTATCTCTATCTGGGGTACGATCAAAAGTTTTTACTTAATGAGATTACTCTACAGCTATAAATTGTCAACTATTATCTAACAGAAAAAATAATAAATAATGGTATTGCTTGGAGACAGACGAGCGTTTCCACATGATAGTCGTAATATCTAAATTATAAAATTTATGTCAATCTTAGAAAAATAAAGAAAAAGACAAGTGATGTAACGGCCAAAGCAATCAAGCATTTCAACAGTCCAGAGTTTCATAGAAAAATTCAAGAATAATTTGTATTGATATACTAATCTCAATAAATCAAAACTTTTGACAGCTCAACCACTTCTGCTCACAACCCATCTACCTTGTAATCAGCAAAATTTTAAGAACAAAGAACTTAATAACTTACACTAAATTATATTGTAATAAAAAAATCATTGTTAATTCAGTTCATCCTGACTGATATTAAAAAAAATGAATAAACAAACCTTAACTCAAAAAACAGAAAATATACAACTAAAAAAGACTTGACATCTCAACTTCAAATTATGATTAATTTACTTTTATTTAACACACAACAAAATAAAAAACTGTAATAGAGAATTACCAAGAGAAGCCAATTGCTGTTTCTTCCCAGAACCAGGAGGGCGCCCTCTACCACGTTTTGGGCTTTGAGTCATGGTTCCATGATGACTAGCTGGTGTTGGAGTCAATGTCAATGACACAGCTCCATCAGGACCATATTTTCTAGGCCTTCCTCTCTTCCTTTTGACAGCTTCACCAGTTGCAGCCCCAGAAGAAGCACCAACATTGACACATTGAGATGAAATTCCTGAAGATTCTAATGGTAATGTGGATCCAATGGTACTACCCCCAATGCTTGATTGAAATGGTACATTGGGATTAGACAGTGGACGGATACCAGGTGAGTTGTGTAATTCAGGTTGAGTTCCAGAACCAGGTATTCCTCTGTGCATATAGTAAGATGCAGACCCAGATAATGCAATTTGATCCCCACGATCCATGCATTTACTTTAAGTTCCTTCAGAATCTTTCACTTTCACAAGAAACTTTGACCCCTCAATATTCAGTTCGCCAAAGTTCACCACCTAGTTCTGTTCTCAAATACAGTCAATGACAAATTTTGTGGGAAAAGAAAAAATGCACAAGTCAGAAAAACCATAAAATCAATGAAATCTAATGTGCAGTCACCAACAAGTGTGTTAATAAGTGCTTATAAATTATATCATCGATAACTGTAGTCTGAGATGAACAACCATAAGTCCTTCAAATCAGAAATTGAAGCTTTACACAGATAAAGTTTCTCAAAAGAAGGCACCCTATTGATATATACATATGAACATCTGATATCTATATGTGCAGAACAAAAGGAAAAGAAAAGGACCCAATACTGAAAGGTACCCAAACATGCAGAAGACAAGCATAAAATAGAAGATAGATCAATGAAAATGATGGAAAGTCTAGCTAGAATGCAATCCAAACAAACAAGGGAAACAGTCACAAGACCAATATTAAGGAGAAGACAAAAAGAGAAGCTAGTTTACAGCTTACCAAACTACATAGAAACAACATAAAGGCTTCACATTGAAGATAAAGACCAGGTGAACTGTTACAGGTTCACTCTCTCACCAACCCATAATAAAACCTTAAACACCAAGCAAATTCCAAGGCAACCTCAAACACCCATATGAACAAAAACTCACTCTCTATGCCAACACCCAGAAAATCAAAAATTCAAGAAGAATTTTTTTATTTTTTTTTAAAGAAGAACCAATATTACAAGATTCTTTAAACCCAGTTTCAAATTCAAGTAAAGAGCACACAGAATGCCACACTACAAAAATCTCAAAAAAATATCATATAGAAAGTTACAACCTTGGAAAATTAGGCTAAGACTAGAAAAGATTTCACAACCCAATTATAAGAAAATGATAATGCTACGAATGCATAATGAATTTTCATTACAAAGTGGAGAGAGAAGAAACAGCAAAAGGTAATAATTACTAACATCTGAGGAGAGAGAATCAAAAGAGTGGTGTGGTGATGGTGCACAGAGTTATGAACTGGAAGCTAGTGAGAGTTTTGAAAAAACGTTCAACAGTTTTTCCTGAGGGAAATTAAAGAGTGGTGGGTGACAGAAGTGCACAGAGGAGAGAGAGAGAGAGAGAGGGGTGAAAGTGAAGATTGAGTGCAAAGAAAGACAGAAAGGAGAACAACAACAACATTAACTACAGAATGAGAAAAAAGGAAAAACAAAAACAAGATATTATTGAATAGTGTTTTGTTGTGTCATGTGTGTGTGTCTCTCTCTCTCTCGGTTTGTGTGTGTGTGCAGTGTGCACAAGTCCTTATCGTAATGCAAAGATTTCTAGGGCTGAAGGGAGGGTCTTAGATTTCTCTCTCCTATTGAGCTAGCTTATTGCTGTACCCCGCTTTCACGACACAAACAAACAAATCTTCAACAGAAAAAAGCTCTTTCTTCATTGTTTCAGATATTGGAATCGGAAATTTATCCACAAAAAAAAAAGATATTGGATTGGAAATCAATGAATAATCAATATTTTTATCTTGTTTTAAACCTTTAATTTGATATATCCAAAAAAAAAAACGGAGAATTTGATTTTTTTTTTTATAATTGCCAATTAAATATTTGATCTTTATTATTTGATTTATAATCTTTACTATTCAATTTACAATATTTAAAATAGATATGAATTAGTTTATGGGTTTAATGTTTGTATAGTGAATACAAATAATTTATTTTTATTCACTCCCAAAATGATGTTATTTTAGGTTGAAAAATTAAAAAATTATAATGATAAAAACTATAAGTGTTCGCGGTTTGGATTGATCAGTTTTGGAAGCAAAAATCATCTAATTCAATCTCTTCGGTTTGATCATGTAATCATCCATTCGGTTTGGATTTTTTTCAAATCTGATCTGTTCCAATCCAAAAAAATTTAGTTTGGATGGATCGATTTTTGGTTTTTCGAAAATCCTAAACTTTGTTTCATAATTATTGTGCAAATAATATCTTTTGTATATATTGACTTTGTAAGTTTTTTTTTTTTTTTGAAATACAAAAGCATAGGAAATGATAATATAGTTTTTTTTGGGTAATGAGATATGAAGCTCTACACAGATAAAATTTTATTGAAGAGATGTGACTAGATTTTTTCTTGGATTTAATTGATGGGTCTTGAGTTTAGAAGATTTTGGGTTATGATCGGGGAAAAGGCACAAGTAAGTAGATAGAAATTAATATATTTGATCGGTTTGGATTGAATTGGTTTTCATCAACCAATCCGAAAACCGATCCAATCCAATTAAAAATTTCAGTTTTTTTTCGATTTTTGATTTTTTCGGTTTTTGGTTTTTCGGTTTGGTCACCGCAGTTTAAATCGGTTAATGAACACCCCTAATAAAAACTATTATAACCTCATAATAAATTAAAATTACAAAATACTATGATTTTTGCCTTAAAATTACATTATTTTACGCTCATTAAAAATAATTTATCTGCGTTTACTGAAAAAAAAAAAAAAAAAAAAAAAAAACCATAGTTTATACCTCCATAAGTTAAAGGATTAATGTTTCTTGAAGATAAAATTATTTTCTTCTACAATTCCAAAGCGGTATCATTTTGAGTTTGAAAAAAAATATCAATATATTTTAATAAATTCATGAAAATAAAATCAAAGTAAATTTTTTAAAATATCCTTTATTTAGTTTTCTAAATCTCAAAATATGAGATTGTTAGAGATAACTCTATATAATGTTACAGGAGAAATTTTTTTTCCTAAATTAACTCTAATGTCATTAATAACTTTTTTTAAAAATAATTTTATTTCAATGTCTATCATTGAAAGTTTCTATAATATAAATTGTGTAGATAAAATATTATATTAATCTAAATATGTTTAATACTTTATTAAAATTCAACAAATTTACAAGATTTGATTTAAACAATTGATGTAAGGGTAAATGATTTCTTCAGTCACCGGAGATAAAGTTATCTCATGTGAGCTTAAAACGACGTTGTTTTGGACGGAAATCAAGATATTTTTGTAATTATAATATATTGCAGGGTTATATTAGTCTTTATCATTATAATTTTTTAAACTTATAACCCTAAAACGACGTCGTTTTGAGCTCACTGAAGATAATTTTATCTCCGGTGACCGAAGAAATACTTTTCCCTTTATGTAATAGGTAGTTGTAACTTTTGGATCAATAAAAAGTCACAATCTATAAAAAATTATTAAATGATGTGAAAATATTCAATTTTATAATAATTTATATCGAATTTTCCTCTTCAAATTAAAAATTATGATCTAAAAGAAGGTTTTAATGTTTCTAAAGTGAATGTAGATAAGTTATCTACATTCACTCCCAAAACAACGTTGTTTTGAGTTGAAAAATTAAAAATTATAATAAAAAATACTATTATAATCATAAAATAAATTATAATTACAAAAATATCTTGATTTTCGCCTCAAAACGACGTCGTTTTGTGCTCAGTGTAGATAAATTATCTACATTGACGGTAGAAAAAGCGAACCCTTAAAAGAAATCATATTTTTTTGAAGGAAATTGTTTTTCTTATGTAACTTAAGGCAAAACTTCTCTCCTACACTCACATATAAAGAGATGAGACCTATTATATTTTTTCTCTTTCGTTTCGTTTCTTTTCTATATGTATTTATAGGAGATTTATTAAAAAAAAAAAAAAAAAAAAACAATTTCTCTTTTTTTAAAACAAAATTACTAAAACTAGACCCTACAATCGAACATATCAAAAAAAAAAACAAAAAACAAGGAATCAATAAATGAATACATTTGATTTAAATATTATGAACCACGGGGATTGTCAAACGAGGCTACCCACGCGCGTAGTTGGACGAATATTCCTATACAAAATTGAGGTGCTAGATTGCCTCTAAATCAACCAAAATATCTGGGGACTCAAAAATAATTATTAAATTACTTAATTTATATTAGTTAAAGAATATAATTAAATTATTTTATTTCATTTTTTGCTATGAATTTTAATAAATTATCAAATTATTTATCCCAAATATTTAATCTTAATTTTTGTTTTTCTATAAAATTTTCATGCATAGTTTAATTCTTGAATTTAAATTTTGTTATAAACGGTTATTTGGAGAAGAATTTTTTTTTTTACGGAACAACTAGACTTTAGTTTTTACCCGAAAATCCTAAAATTTTGTTAAAAAAAGACGCAAGCATTTTTTCTAAACCTGATTTCATTTAAATAAGATTTAGCTTTTGCATACATTTTTAAAAGAGTACTCGAAAGAGAGAAATTCTTAAATACTCTCATGATAGAAATAATTTTTTTACTTTATACAATTAAACTTATATTATTTTAAATATGTATATATATATATATATGATATATTAAATTTTGATTTTGGTTATATTTTAAAGGAGCAGGTTCTTTTTACACCAATGTAAAACTAACAAGTTTTACATCACATCTCAACAGTTAATGGACGAAAATCATCGATTGGTATTTGTTGTGTAATTAATAATTAATTAATTCATATGAATTCCTAAATTATAATCATTGAATGTACGGAAATTAACAATTGAGATGTGATGTAAGACTTATTAATTTTACAGTGATATAAAATGATCCTAATCATATTTTAAATGTTGAAATATATTTAATTGAAAGTAAATCAACTTCATATTATATTTTTCTTCTTTGAAAATATCACATATTATGCATAATTTTTTCGAAATAATGGATAAGCACAGAGATATAGATATATAGAAAAGAGGAGAATGATAAAAGCGCGTGTTGAAGAGTGACAAACATGTTGACTGATAAAAAACGGGGTTCGGCAGTCTCTCACTGACTCAGTCTCAGAAAGATGGCTGACTTTGTTTGCATGTGACTTTATCTCTCTTTCTATGTACTATTCACTCTTCTTTTTCTCTCTGTGTTATAATGTCAATGGCCCATCTCATCACCCAAGAAAATATCTATCAAAAAAGTTAGGATGGCTTCATCTCTCTCTCTCTCTCTCTTCCCCTCCATCACACAAACTTCCAACCAAGAATCTCTTCTATACTCAAATTCCCATCACAAAACCAAAAAAATAAAAATAAAAAATATCATCATCAAATTGTCTGACAATCATCATGAGAGTGTACGCAATTTGCGTTAAATAGAAGAGTTTTATAAGAGTTATGTTGCAGGAAAAATAATTATGTAATATTATAGAGATTTATTTTACGTGCCGTAATTTTTTTTTCTTTTTTTCAAAAAGTATGGACCTCACAAAATATTATGTGTAGAAAAATTTATTATGTCATGTTAAATGACAAATGCAAACCCCTTAAATGAAATTTGTTTACACACATAATCAAGATACAATCACTTGATAGAATGTTAGGTAGATAAATATATATTATTGTCATAAGTTATAAAATAAAATAGAATTAAAGAACATGTCATGTAAGAATGGAAAAAAAAAAAAAAAAAAACAAGTAATGTGTTAACTGAATGGTAACAGCTCAAGACCCCTTTTGAGAACACAAGTTCAACATTCGAGAAGTTTTCTTTACTGCTCTGTCCTCCGGAATTGCGAGAGCAATGTATGTAAATATTAGGAAAAAAAAGCATTAAATTGTGAGAGTAGAAAAACTCAAATTTAAAATTAAATTAATTAAAGTGTCGAATATCAATTGTTCATTCGATCTGGGTAAAATTATATGGGCGGTAAAAAAAATTCTATTAAATTTTAATACAATTATAATTTTATGAACTTAAACTCAAAATCACTAATTAAGTGAAAATAACCTTTTATGAGTTGATTTATATACTTGATTGAATATAAATATAAATATATAGAGAGAAGTTCTTCTATGTCAGTCAACATTAATTAATTAATAGTGCTTTTCTTCATTGTAATTTTCAAATAATATTTTAAAGATATGTGTGGTACAAGAATTTCGAAAAGGGTATGTATTTTGACCCCCACTAAACGTGCTATTAATAAATTGTTGACTGTTGTCTTCGTTCAAAGGTTTATAATTGTTTGATTAGCTACTAATGGGAATATTTATAAGAATACCTGATAAAAAGATGTGAGTGAAACGTATTTGGACCCCACTAAATAGGTCATAGCATCTCTCTCATCTCATATTATAACAAACATGGAATTAGATTATTCTTAGCATGTCTATTGTTTTCCATAATTTCCTGAATCCTATAAATATAAATAATGGAGAGCTGCTTGTACCATCTATAAGTTCTAGACTGTATAAAGTGAAGATGTGA